ATCCCATTATCCAGGAGGGTCCTGCTAAAAAAGTTTTCAACAAACTAATAATACCAACGAAACATTGTGAATGCTATCTTCATTATTTGGAAGTTCCTTCAAGGAGAAAAATAATAATAATAGTAATAAATAAAATAAATATTCCAACATTCAAGTAATTGCTATTTTGATATATATTTAGCAAACTTTCATATAATATTCCACAAGTCTTTATTGTAGGGTTTCCATTTCGGTCGCTGCAGACTAGGTTGAACATCTAGGTTCCTCGAATCCTTAATCTTGAAACAACTTGTGTCCCTGCTTCAACAAAGAAAATTTGTGAGTTTGAAAAGGTGGTGGTTGGTTTGTGGTTCCATGTTTCGACAAGGGTGGCTCAAACACTTATGACGCTTTGGTTGTTTCCAACGTTCAATACTTCTTACTGATTGATTGTACTTTCATCCACATTTGCTTATTTTGCGACCTAAATCCAATGTCTTTATCTCATAACACTCATTGTTTAGCCTTCATAGGATCAGAGAATTTTCGAATTCAACACTTGAAGACAGATTAACTCAGTAGCCTGATGCTTTGCCTAGTACTGATTAGAGACTTGGTAGCGAGTCTTGAAATTCCTTCATAGTTTTTTTTCCGACAAAGACTCAACTCAAATACATACCAAAAAAGTGACGAAAAAAAAGTATAAGAAAATTACGAACTATATGAGAATAAAAGAAAAGATTCGATGAAGACTCTTTTTTTGTAAGAAGAAAAAAGAAAAACTTATCTGAGTGTGGGAGCCGAGTCTATTGATCATGCCATGCAATTTGAATTGATTTCCAGACTTGGCTATCCAATCTATTCATCAACCATTATTGATTATTCAATCTTGATGTGGAATCCCAACACTTAATGAAGCCATAAATAATCTGAACCCTTATAGACTTTGTGGTATTCACGAAGGTCTTTGCTGCTAAAACTCAATCATGTTAATTGCTCCAGCTCACGTCTGCCTTATGGGGCATGTCAGGATTTTCACCAATAAGACTCTCTTATATTCAACTCCTTTTTGCCTTACGGTCCCACTTAGGGTTTTCACCAATAAGACTCTCATTTTTATTTCTTTTTACTCACATTTGTCTTATGGTGCCCATTCAGGATTTTTACCTACCTTTAACCAACTTATTCTCGACATATAAAGGGCTGATGCAAAGACTTTTTTTTTTGACTTTAGATGATGGGGTTGATTTTGAGCTGTGAGATGAGAGGCCGAATAAATAAACAAACAAATTTTGCCCCAGTATACTACAATATGAATTTTTGGATTTGTATTTGGTTGAACCGAACCCAATATTAGGGCTGCCTACATATCTTGCCGAAACAAGAATCAGGTCAAACGTAGTTCAGGCAATTTGTTTTTGTTTTTGTTTTTTTGTTTTTGTTTTTTTGTTTTCTTTTTTGTTTTTTTTTGGAAAAGTCAAGGACACAGCATAACCAAGAGATCTCGTTGAATCAACCCTTGAAATACCAATCCCAAACATAAGGGTTTCTAATGTCGAAACTCAATCATATGTAGTATCTTTTCACAGCATCAGCATTGACGACCGTTTCTGTCACTTTGCCTTCTATATCTGCTAAGTAAAGAGCACCATTGGGTAATACCCTTTTAACAACGAATGGTCCTCTCCAATTTGGAGAAAATTTGCCTTTAGTTTCGGCATGATGTGAAAAAATGCATCCTCATGTTTAGCACAACTACCCAATAAAATATGGATTTTCGGCAAAGGAAAAACATCTTTTGGACTTGCCTTATTAAAATCACGATAATCAACACACATTCGAACTTTGCCGTCTTGCTGAGGGACAGGTATGATATTGGCTAACCAAGAAGGATATTGAGAGACTTCAATGACTTTGGCCTCAAGTTGCTTTGTGATCTCCTCTTTAATTATTACACTCATGTCGGTTTTGAGTTGTCTCAACTTCTGCTTTATCGAAGGAAAATTAGGATCAATTGGCAACTTGTAAACAACCATGTCAGTGCTTAATCCAGGCATGTCATCATAAGATGACGCAAAACATCTTTGTAATCAAACAGGGCCTGGATTATATCGTCCTTTTGATGTCGAACATGTACACTTATCTTAGTCTCCTTAATAATTTCCTGATCTCCCAAATTTATCGTCTCAGTTTCACTCATGTTTGGATTTGATTTATTTTCAAAATAATTGAAATCCCTCCTTACTTCTTCAAATACTCTGTCTTCATCATATTCGATTTCTCGACTTATTATTTCAATATTAGGTTGAAGATTAGATTGGATATTAAGATCTGGCGAAAAATTCTGCATGCATGTCATATCACTAGAATCGGCATAGAAAGAACTGTATAAAAGAAAACGAACAAATATATTAGACTGAAATAAAGATGCAATTACATCCTATTGAAAAAGGAAATAGAATATTTGAAATAAAACAGCAAGAAAAAAAATCCGAATTACAATCCTTGAATGAATCGGATGACAAAAGAAAAAACAAGACAGACTACCAAGACTCATCTTTAACAGGGAGAGGGGTGACCTCCCAATTGTTTAGATTGACATCAGGAACAATGAATTGCACATCTCTGTCGCTAGTGCCTTCTCCGAGTTCCACCATATCAACCTCGACAAATAAATCTTGAAAATAGTTGATCATTTCTTCGCTAACTTTCATCACTGGCTCTGGAAAAGATGATTGATAAGATTCTGTTGCGCGGGCTTTGATGAAAGATTTGTAGATTGGTTGTATAGGCTTGGTAAGTGACCATACATCTCTCTTATGCTTATTTGCCTTCATTTTGTCCTCGACTCTAGGTTGGTAGCCTAAGCAAAAAGTACAGATGCTCTTTCGTAGACTCACAAGATAAGCTCTTCCTTGCAAGCAGATTCCTAAGCCTTTACCCTGCTCAAACCCATGTTTTTCAGCAATTCATTCACCACCATTACAGACGCGATGGGCATATTTGGTTTTGAAATGACACTCCCCTCGGGGACATGCTCAATAACCACTACCTCAGAAGCTTGATAAACTAGTGCCTCATTCTCATTATCCGCATTGATAAAAGGGAAGGAAGAGTCTTTATAGATTGACAAATCCCCCTCACCATGAACAATTACCTCTTGTCGGTCGTGTTCAAACTTAATCATTTGATGCAACGTTGAGGGGACTGCTCCAGCCCTATGCACCCATGGCCTCCCCAACAATAGATTGTAGGACGTGTTGATATCCAACACTTGAAAATTCACAGTGAAATCCACAGGCCCTATGGTTAGTACGAGCTCTATCTCACCAATAACATCTGTTTTTGACCCATAAAAAGCTCTAACACATACATTGTTGGGTCGGACCCTTTCAGCACTAACATTCAATTTCTGTAGAGTTGATAAAGGACAAATATTTGCTCCAGATCCTCCATCAATTAGAACTCGAGTGACATATGAAAGCTCACACTTTACAGTGATATGTAGGCCTTGGTTATGTCCTGTACCTTCTTTGGGTAGTTAATCATCTGAAAAGGTGATGCGGTTTACCTCAAATATTCTCCCAACAATCTTCTTTAACTGACTCACTGTTACTTTACTAGGAACATGTGCTTCATTCAAAATTTTCATTACAGCCTTACGATGTTCATCAGAATGTATTAGCAAAGACAACAAAGAGATTTGGGCTGGAGTTTTTCTTAATTGTTCCACCACGGAGTAGTCTGATAGTTTCATCTTCCTTAGGAATTCCTCTGCCTCCTTCAGTGACCGAACTCTTTATTTGTATTTGGTCATTTTTTGTTTTCCTTAATTCCATCAGGACATAACATCTTTCTGAAAGGGTTATTCCTCCCACTTCATCTATTTCTTCATATATTTCTTTTCCCTTGTATGTCACGACAGTAGGCTCATAATTCCAAGGAACAGCTTTGGGGTTAGTCATTTGGAGCTGGGGTACTGGCCTGATAATCACAGGAGGAATATGGGCCCCTCGCACGATCAAGATAGGCTTGTTTGGCCCTTTTGGAATAAATGATTTTGCCTTACTCGGGCTTGCCCAAATATCTTGAAGGGCTCCTTTCACAGTTAAGATTGGTGTGTTTGATGGACTCAACTTTTCTAACACACTTTCCGCCCCTAAAGGCATCATTTTTGTTAAATCAACAACATTTGCTGACTTCTCAATGCCAGTTCCAACCCTAAGGATTGGCTTATATGGAGATGCAAAATCTTCATGACCCTTCATCATTTCTATCACGTTTGTTTCAGTATGCCTCGGCAATGTATTTTGATTGATGTTGGGTCCACTCGGA